AAGGCACTCGATTTTCATGCTTAATAGCCGTGTGGGAAATGTAAAGTATATATTATTTAACGACTCGATAAGACCAAATTATTTGAGGATACTGTACTGTACTTTAAACATTTGTTCCTTCATCAGTAACCTTTATTGCTCCGTATAAGTAGATGACAACAGTCACATGACCTGTTTTCTCACATTCCCATGATCATTATCACCCCCCCCCCTCCAGGTAAGGCCTGACGGAACAGTCGACCCTCAGCCCTTCCTGGACAGGCTGACTCCCGCCCTTAACGACACTCGTCCTGACCTCCTCGACCGCCTCGTTTCTGGCGCAGAGTCCTGCTCGCCTCAAAGCGTAAGTTCTGCTCCTTCCCCATTATGCTTTAGGAAGAATTCATGTCTCATACATTCACACAGATTAAGCACTTTCCTTCACTCTTCTCTAATCCCTCTTTCTGTATTCACATTTTGCGTCCCTATTTCGGCATTACGTGTTATTTCGGTGTCCATTATTATTATTTTTCTTTTCAGATTGAGGAGTGGGAGGCCTGCATCTTCTACGAATGCTTCCTGGGGGATTTCACAACACCTGTGCCTACAACTGTTGTTCCTGAGGAGTAATGGTGTGAAATCATTCCTTTCTCCCGTGGAAATCTATGTCAAAACAGTGTAAATTAAACTATAATGACTAAAAGATTTGGAATCATTATTATCATTATTCCTTTATACTTTTTCAAAAGATCTCCACTAAAAAAAATATGCTTTTTTTTAAATACGGATGACGTGAAATTGATATGAAAGACATTTCTCCGAGATAGTTCCCCATCATGAATAATAAAGACATTTAATCCTTTAGTTATTATATTTCCTCAGATATTCTACACTCAATAAAATAAAAACGTCTGTTCTGTTCATTCAACGTAGCACACCCTCAGAAAAGCAGGCAAACGTTTTAATTTCCTTGCTAGGTTCATTCATTTACAAAGAAAAAATTCCATGTTATTTGCAGATTTTTATATTTCAAAAAGGGATTTGATGTTCTTTAAATATTTCTTATTTAATAAACACATCACAGACGCAGTTTCTATACTTTTTTAACACAATCACGCTTGTGAGTTTTTCTTGGAACCAAAATGAATGGAAGACATTGCCCCTTTTACTCAGAAATCAAAGAAAATGTGTAAGAATAGCATTCTCTATGAACCGTATTCATGTTGACAAATGTAGAAAAGGTATGAATGAGAATGAATATCTTCACAGTACAATAGATGCATTTAACCGGTTTCGAATATTTCTCGTTAGAAATACAATACCTTTCTGGACTCCTATTGTACGTTTCTTTACAAAATCCAACAATATATAAAAAATGGGGTACACCAGTAGCAACATTTCCTTTATAATCACACAAACACACGCATATATATATATATATATATATATATATATATATATATATATAATATATATATATATATATATATATATATATATATATATATATATGTTTATATGCATATATACATGTATATATATGTCTGTGTGATATAAAAACAAACATACATATTTATATGTATATTATATAAAACACACACACACACACACACACACACACACACACACACACACACACACACACACAATATATATATATATATATATATATATATATATATAATATACATATACATACATGGGTGTGTTTATGTGATTAAAAGTAGCAGAGATCACTTTAAAAAAGTGTATATATGTATACATGCATATATATACAAAAACAGACACACACACACACACACACACACACACACACACACACACACACACACACATATATATATATATAATATATATATATATATATATATATATAATATATATAAGGAATGTTCTTAATGTTCTTTATTGTCATTAATAAAAATATCAGTCGTTTTTATTATCAATATTACTTATTTACCTTATAATCAAATTTCAAAAGAAAAAAAAAACTGTATATGGAGGGAAAGTTCTTGAAATCCCTGAAAAGGATGATATTATCAACAGTGTTATGAATATTATCACTCTTGTGAAAAAAATTATCTTCCATTACAATCCCAAATCTTCCGTGGCTGTTATCTGCGGCCACAGAAAAATATTTTGCATCTTTTAGCTTCTAAGGAATGGCCAGAGTCTTTGCGAAAAGTATTTGTCATTCACCGACTATAATGTGACCCGGTTTCAGGTCGCGACCTCCCGAGCAAGGGCTTGGGCGACGCTGTCTCGAAGGACGTTCCTCTGGCAGACGGGGCCCTGGCCAGCGGACGCCCTTCCTGCCTCGGGCCGTGAGCGGGATGCCAAATCTGTTGATATCTTATAATAATCTACTGAAATGAAAAAATTATTTCACGTGTAGTATATTCTAGTATATTTTAATTAATGAACCTAGGAAGTTTGCTTGAATGATTTCGTAAATCTGTTTTCTGATGGTGTGCTATGTTGAATAAACAGAACGGACGTTTTAATTTCATTTGAATGTAGAGAATGGTATGAGGAAAATATAATTACTGGATACTTAAGGGTATCTCTCTTTATTATTCATTATGGTGAACTATCTTGGAGTAATGTCTTTCTTATCAATTAATGTCATTCCGAATTATTTAAAAAAAATGTTTATAAGGCCTACATCGATTTGGACTTTTAGCGCAGATCTTTTGAAGAATGTGATAAAGAATTAATAAAAATTATTATTATTATTATTTCTTTTATTTTTTTTTCTTTTTACAATCATTATAATTTTAATTTATAGTTGTGACACCAAGATTTCCACGGGAGAAAGGAATGATTGCACACCATTACTCCTCAGGAACAACAGTTGTAGGCACAGGTGTTGTGAAATCCCCCAGGAAGCATTCGTAGAAGATGCAGACCTCCCACTCCTCAATCTGAAAAGAAAAAATGGACACCGAAATAACACGTAATGCCGAAATAGGGACACAAAATGTGAACACAGAAAGAGGGATTAGAGAAGAGTGAAGGAAATTGCTAATCTGTGTGAATGTATGAGACATGACGAATTCTTCCTAAAGCATAATGGGGAAGGAGCAGAACTTACGCTTTGAGGCGAGCAGGACTCTGCGCCAGAAACGAGGCGGTCGAGGAGGTCAGGACGAGTGTCGTTAAGGGCGGGAGTCAGCCTGTCCAGGAAGGGCTGAGGGTCGACTGTTCCGTCAGGCCTCACCTGGGAGCGAAGGAGGGGGGGGGGGTGATAATGATCATGGGAATATGAGAAAACAAATCATGCGACTGTTGTCATCTACTTATACGGAGTAATAAAGGTTACTGATGAGGGAACAAATGTTTAAAGTACAGTATCCTCAAATGATTTATATATACTTTACATTTCCCACACGGCTATTTAAGCATGAAAATTGAATGCTTTAAGAGGGCCATGCCCTTGGAACTTACCTCTC